GAAGTGATCCTTCCTTAATATCAGATATAAATGCACAATCTATTACCACTCCAGCTATCAATAAGCACTACCCATTATGTGCATCTCATTTACAAAAGAACTTGATACTAAACTCCCACATGAAATATCAAGGACGTCAGCAACTAGGTCTCTTCTTAAAGGGTATAGGTTTAAATGTTGATGAAGCCTTAAAGTTTTGGTCCTACCAATTCACCAAATCATCAAATGCAATTAACTTAGAAAAGTTTAATAAAGAGTATAAATATAATATTCGTCACAATTACGGTTTAGAAGGTGCAAGAATTAACTATAAACCTTGGGATTGTGCAAGAATTTTACTGAAGCCAAAACCTGGTAAGGGTGAATATCATGGGTGTCCGTATCGTGATTTGAGTGTCGACGCTTTAGTTAATAATTTGAACGAAATGGGTATTAATGATCAACAAGATATTAATGGTGTCATCGACGATGTCAGCAGGAATGACTACACTGTTGCATGTACCAGGGTTTTCGAGATGACTCATAAAAATCAGCTTGACAAGAGTAATAAGGCTACAGAGGCAATGCATATTAATCATCCAAATCTTTATTTTGACAGATCAAGACAATTAGATAGGCTTGGTTCCAAAACTTCTCAATCGGTATCTAGTAATTAACTGTATAGAGACTAAATAATGCAAATAATAATTAAATTGAGTTCTTCACAAAACTAATCATCCCTAGATGTGCAATGATATTGGGGCTTAACTTAAGTCAATAGACAGCCACATATCTCTAAAGTTCCACCACGAAGCACCACTACCACATAAACCAACCCAGAATGGGCTCAAACAACCCTCGTACAATGACCAGTGGACCACAAGTGGAACTTGCACAGCTTGTTTGAATAAGCTAAGTCTCCAATTCTTATCCCATTTACTCATTGGAACTCTTCTAAATAATTCTATTATCTCAATAATTAAGTACGCACCCCAGACTCTGGAACACCAGACATACGTCATAAGGGACCACTGATTATTATCTAAGGTTCCAACCCAATTGTGGTCGGTTAACCAACCAGCGTGCTCTAATAATTCTAATAATAAGCAATTCAATGATTGCAACAAATTTACAAATCTATCGAACTTAGAAACAGCACTAGCTGGATTCATAAAAGCATAAAACTCGTCAATAATCCACGGCATATACTTGATCGACTCAGTTAATCTATTGAATATTCTCACGTCAGCTATGTATGAAGAAATAGTTTTCAAATGAACAGCTAATTGGGAAACCGGCCTGTCGCTGTCATTGGAAACTGGCGGACCCATTGAAGGATCCCGAGTCTGAAAAAATCTAGAAATAATCTTATTAGACGAATCTTTAGGTGCTTTTCCCAACGTATTATTGCAGAATGAATTCACAACTTTTACGAGTTTGTATTTTTGCTTCAACAAGTACTGTCTGATTTTTGGTTTGTTATTCAAAATACTCGATAACAATAATGTAAAGTAGCAAATGAAATACAAATTAGCATCAACTGTGGATGACTTACTTAATACTTTATCGTTGATCTCTTGGTAAAACTTTCTGCTAAATACAGACTTTTTTAGGATTGCATTTAACTTAAGCAATATGTTTATGGGAAGAAATTTCATTTGTCCTTTACCATTAACATTTAATGGTGCTATGGACGCTATACTCATTCTAAATTCTCTCTAAGTATATCTAATTGCCAGTTTTACAATACTAAAGCCTCTTTTATTTATAATTCAGTTAAAAAGTAAAGATATATTCGAAATCAAAAAACTCTACCACTAACCTCTTTTTGGTATTCTGAGCCGAGGTTTCTGATAACAATTTTGTGTTCCTAAAAATGCGCTAATGCTGCAACAATTATCTGAATTGTGATTGATTGATACATTACATATTGTAAATATTAAAGATATAATTCAAGAAATTTATTAATCACTATTATGATTGTAGTGTAATGAATGCAATGTATTAACAATTCGTAAAGAAGAATTCACAATGTTATGATTATGATACTTAATAAATTTTGACAAAAATTGCAACTTTCAAGAAAAATTGACTATATTAATTATTTTGTAGTATTAAACATACATGATATTTTAAAAAACAAAAACTATACACTCTCAACCTTCACAATTTTATTTTGTTTAGAATTATCGTCTGAGCTATGCTGATCTGACTCAGATGATTCGAGGACCACATCGTCAAACTCTTCTATTTCGTCATCCATTTCAGGCAAGATTAGGTTTAAGATTAACCCTATAAAACCAGTTACGGCAAAACCAGTTTCCATAACCAAGACTATCGCATCAAAAAAGCCCAGCAAAGCAGTATTATTACCGGAATAGGTGAATACATTATCAAACCAGTTTGATATTAAAATTGAACCGAAACCAGGCAACAAGGATGCGGTCAACACAAACCTATCTCTTCTGGTAAATTCAATCGTAGAGATAATTCTAATACCAGATACAGCAACGGAAGTAAACAAGAAAGACGTCATGCCACCCAATACTGCCTTTGGGATCGCCACAATCGAGGCAGCGAACTTAGAAAAGACACCCATTATGATCATAAAGAAAGCACACCAATATCCTACTTTTCTATTAGCACACTTAGTGATGGAAATAACCCCGTTATTCTGGGCAAAAGTAGACATCGGCGTCACAGTCATCAAACCTGATAATAATCCATTGAAACCATCTGCCAATATACCTCCTTGGACTCTTGATTCATACAATTCTCCTTCAACTTCCAATCTTGAAACATCAGAAGTAGCTGTTATGTCACCGATCGCTTCCATCATTAATACAATATATACAGCTAGGAACGGCAAAACCGCAGGTCCATAAACTTTTAATTTAAACGTATGGACCCATACGAATGTCACGGCTGGAGCAGCATCAATATTTGTTTTACTGAAGTACCCACACGCTGCTGCAACAATACAACCTATTAATAACCCAACGATAACAGCACATGATTTCATAATAGGAGAGCCAAATCTTTCGGCGATGATGATCGTAACATAAACGAGAAAACCTAATCCTATGAACTCAGCTGAACCCCATTCTAATGGATGAGCCGAACCGCACATTTCACCCACACAATCAGAACCTCCAACCCAATCTTGGAAACCTGTCTCAATCAAATGTACCCCAATCAATAACACAACAGGGCCAGTAACAATAGGAGGGAATATCTTTTGTAACTGCTTAGCAGGCATGAACGACAAGAGAATTTCCAAAAGCGAACAAACTATTCCTGTTCCCAAAATCATTCCATATCCGTCAGGGCACGGCTGATTTACACCGTCCACGACTGGACATACTCCTGTCAGATACATCACTGGTAGAGCTTTAGTGACTATCGATATGGTTGCAAAAGACGTTCCCACCACCGAGAGCAACCCTGTACCCAAGAAGTACGGTGTCTTGTAAATGTGGAATCTAGTAATTTGAATACATGACAATAATCCTGACACGATCAAGGATGCACTAACAAGATATTCTTGCGTCGCACTATCAAGATTTGCAGCAGAGGCAATAAGAATAGGAGGTGTAACCACCCCGGCAAGCATCGCCAATGCATGTTGGAATCCGAGTATAAACCCTAGCAAAAGTGGCATATCTGAATTTAGTCCAAAGAATGGCTGTCTCTTGGTCACCGTTTTTTTAAATGGAATTTCAGGTACAAAGAGATACTTGTAATCATAGTCCCCTATGAAGCCATCCTTGGTGGTCCATTTGCGTATCACTCTTTTACCAAATTTTTTTATGTCTTGGATGTTCATTGTATTGCTGTCTTAGATGGTGATTTCGCCAAATCGTAATTTTTCACAGATATATGTCCCAATTTATCTAAAAAGAGATCTTACCTTTCGTTTATCATCAAATCACTGAAAAATGGAAATTTCTAATAAGCCAATACTTTATCTTATCCTAGCGAATGGATATTCATTATAAACGGCAGTTTCCCTTATTGATAGCAGATTTTGGCCATTACTCAGTTTATATGCAGTCAGATAACTTATCTATGGAGAAGACCGACCTATAGAGATAAGCGAATTTCAGATCTGTTACCACCAAAAAAGTACACATTATGCCGTATGTTTGACTTATCCATCGTTAGCTCACAGTATATATTAATATATATTAGAAACCATGCTGCACATATCTTGACATTGGAAGAAGTTTTTTGCCATTTTACTATTTTGACCGTTTCACCATTTTGACCATTTTTTTTTTATCGCCGATTTGGTAACTGATTGCTTTCTCTCAATTTAAGCATCATCGTTAACCCATATTAAATACCTCTGTGTCTTGATTTGTTCTCTGCTGGAATTTAGTATTTTCCGAGGTTCATACGTAATCACTATATGCGGCCCTTATTCTCGTGTGACTAGTGGTCATATCAACAGATCATTACTACAAATTTCATGATTTGGTTCTGAACTTATGGTGTAAGCATGGTATAAACTGCAATAGCCTAGTGTTAGTATGTCAGTAACAACGTGAAATATACGATTATTTTTACTTAATTAGTGAAATTGGGCCCAACGTATATAGAGCTTCCATAATATGCGCACGGCGGGTAGAAGAATACGATTTTAATTCTCTTGCAACAAGGCTAATTAGTATGCCAATCGGTAACGAGTATCGTAGAAATATACAAACACTGGTGCAACATAGTGATAAATATATGTCTTGTCATCATAAGCTTCATCGTCGGTTTTAAATGCAAAGGTAATATTGGGGGTCCATTATCGAATAGATGAAAAATGTTCTTGTCACGCGATCTAAAAATTCTTCATGATAAACACATCTAACTATAATCTAAGATTAGAAAATTGAATATTCAAACATTTCATCCTTCAAGATACATATAAAATTGTATAAATAGTGTTTTATTCCGGATTCGTTTAGAACTTATAATAATAAATTATATAGGCATTGTTTTGAGGGAGATATCAGGAGATTTGGGGCGAAATGTTTATCCTGATTCGAAGAAAATACATACAACTAGTAGTGGTGATTACATTGCTTCTTACGGTTATAGCGTCGTTATTATCGGTTTTAAATGAGACTTCGAGAGTAAAGATAAATTCAAAACTTAGACTTAATTATCTTGATAGGTTGACCAGCCAGATATACTCGGGGTACTTTGAAGGTAAGGACAAGGGAGACACATTTGATCCAGAATCACGTTTCAATAAGAAGATTGATGCAATTTATAAAGAAAAGAAGAACCAGGAGGATGATGAAAGCAGTTTGTGGATAATGGACACCACAACCAAGGGTTCCTCGCTCAAGGTTCCTCCATATTATTATGATATGTCGGACAAGCCGCCCATTCTGCCGTTCGACATTAGATTCACATTGGGAATGTATTACCACCATATAAGGAGTCAGTCTAAAAAGAACCCGAAGAAGATTGTTTCGGCTCCGTTCCATTGGTACGACTGGGTGGATTTGTCGATATTGAACCAGTACTTATTAGCACCAGCAAAGGAGAAGCCAACATGTGCATTATTGGATGCTAGAATGGATGAAATCAAGGTTTTCCAGGAGAAGGACAAAAAGCAGAAGGAGAAGGATTCCAAATTAAAAGAATTTGAACAAAACCAAATTAATAAAGAAGAGGACAAGAAGAAAATTGAAGAAACCCAGAAGAAAATTGAGGAAAACAAGATTGAAGATAATATAGAAAAACCGGATGGGAAGAATGATGAAAAGAAGGAGAATAAGGAAGATAACAGTATTGATGGTAAGAAAGAAGAAAAGGAGCTAAACGATGACAAGAACAAGAAAGAGAAGAGACACGTCAAGAGGGGAGAATCTGTGGACCCCAAAGAATATTGTGTCGATGACTTCCATTTACCAAGCGATTTCCAAGATGGTAATGCTGTAAGACCTGGATTCAATGTCTTTAAAAGCGATATGAGAACAACTCCTGACAAAGCTATTCTTCTTGGAAAATCATACTTATACACTTATGCACCAACACCCTCAATGATTGTTTTCTTAACAAAGGATGGATCTTATAATATTACCGTTAAAGGAAGGGAAAAATTATTGAATTCTGATTTGGTCGGTAGCTATGTTAATCAGGAAAAAACAAAAGCAATTGATCCCTTAACCGAGTTTAATAAATTGAAAAAGAAAGTGAAAGTTAATTCCCATCAAAGTATTAATGATTATGAAATTAATCTCACTGAAGATTCCTTTATTCTTAAACATAAAGAACTTATTAGCGAATACGAATCCAAATTAAAAGAAAATGGGATAGCAGTTAATGAGTATCGCTATTTAGAATCCTTAAAGTATTCGGATAGCGAAGTTAATCCTCCAAAGTATTTTGCAGAAGCAAGATTAATCGGTAGTTTAGTTGGTGATCATTATGATTGGAGATTTTTCAATGGCGTTATGTATGAAGCATCACAAAGAAGTTTGATATTGCACAGATTGGTTAGATCATGGTTATCGTTCAGTCGTAAGAATGGTATCAACACTTGGGTTGCGCATGGATCATTATTATCGTGGTACTGGAATGGGTTTTCTTTTCCATGGGACTATGATATTGATGTGCAGGTTCCGGTTATGGATTTGCATAAATTGTCGTTACAATTTAATCAAACTTTAGTTGTCGAAGATATGGAAGAAGGCTATGGAAGATACTTTTTAGATTGTGGATCTTTTATTACGTTAAGAGCCAAGGGGAATGGTAATAATAATATCGATGCCAGATTTATAGATATTGATACCGGTATCTATATTGATATTACCGGACTAGCGGTATCGAACACAAAATCGCCAGGTAGATACAAGGAGTTCTATCCTGATCAGTGGGTTGAAAATGCAGAAGATTATACGGAAGCTAATACTGCAATGAAGGCATATAACTGTCGTAATAACCATTTCTCAACATTAGACGAATTATCACCTTTGGTAAAGACGTTTGTTGAAGGTGAAATGGCTTACGTTCCAAGAAGATACAGCGACATTTTGTCTGTTGAATATCCTAAGGGATTATTAAGCAAACAATATAGTGGACATGTGTTTATACCCCAATTGCGATTATGGGTTAAGGAAGGAGATTTGTATTATTTCTTACATGACAAGGAGAAGTGGAAGTTGCATAACTACAATGAAGAGTATACTAACATCGAGTCTCAAGAAGATTTGGATAAGGAGAATGCTAGGTTCGAATTGACCGAAACCCAAAAAGCAAAATTATTACAAGAAGCGGCAGCAAGGAAAAAATTAGGTCAAACTCAGGACAAATCAACCAAATTGAGCGACAAAGATTTGCGTACTATTTCTAATTTCAAACCTGAACAACTTCTTGAATTACTATCCAAAGAAGAACTTTTCATTAATTATTGTCTGACTAGGGACTTTACTTTCTTTCATCAAGAAGAAATCATGAGACTATTGTTCGGCAAATCTACCGACAAGTTACTCAAATCACAAAAGGCATTCAAGCCGTTTACTACTAATTTGCTCGATTATTATATTCATAATAACGATTATAACTATGATCATCAAGTCGACAAGTATATTGCTTTGCAGGCTGCGTATTCATCATAATCTGATTGGCATTAGAGCCTCAAAATGCACTGTCTCCGCAACGTTACGCTCACAACTTTAATTCTCCCAGTTGATTACAAGCATTTTGCGGTCCATTTACACAGATGTAGATATTTGTCTAACAAAACATTTATAATATCAAATATTAATATAATACAACTAATAAACAATAACAAACTAAAAATACACTGCTCTTGAGGCTTATTTCATATTCTTTTCGTCCTTCACCAATTTCTTCCATTGCTCGATCTCTCTATAAGCCCTTTCAAGTTCTTGCTTCAACTTGTCGTTCGAAGCACTCAACTCCGAGACCGCCTGTTCCGTCAATAACTTCTCAAGTGTCCATTTTTCGATATTGTTGTTTTCGTTCTCCTTTAATCTCTTGATGTACTCCACGGCCCTTTGTAAGATTTGCGCCTTGTTGGTATCATTGGTAGGGATTAAAGCAGCTAATTCCTTGATACCTTGGTTGATCGATTCTCTTCTTCTTCTTTCAACTTCCTTGTGGTTTTCTCTTCTCTGCTTGTGCCACTCGTCAGACCCGTGCTGCGGCTTCGAGGTACTCGAAGTCTGCGGCAATGTCGTAGGCTGCAAATGCGAGAGACTGTTTTGGGGCGAATGCGATGGATGTTGGCTGTGGTGACCGTGCTGGTGGTGTTGGTGGTGCTGTTGTTGAACCTGTTGCTGCTGCACCTGCTGTTGCTGTCTGAACGCATTCTGGTACGCCAAATGTTGTTGCAACTGCTGACTGTGGTGCTGTTGTTGCGAGCTCAATGCAGCGGCCGCTGCATTGGCAGGTTCTGACGCAGCAGCTGCTGCTACAGCAGCGGCAGCAGCGGCATTGACGTTGTTATCGTTATTTCCTCCGTGATTGTCTCCCCTGGAGTCGTCAGGCCCGTTGTTAGTGTACGACGATTGCTGTCCCAAAAGCTCGGAATCGATCGCAATCTCGTCCTTCTTGTCGTCACCCTTCAATTTTTTGTCGGTCTGGTGGCTACCGTCTTCCGATGATCTTTTCGACATATCTGGCCTCTGCAATTACTTTGTTTACTACCTAGTACTAACAATAACAAGGAAAAGAAAAATAAATAAATTATCACGAGGAGCTTTCTCACATGGATTTCAGGTGATTTTTATTTAAACCAGCTTGATGCCGGGTAATGTTTATTTTTCTCACGGGGCGTGCGGAGGGTGATACAACCAGCGTGACCATCGATAGTGGGACAGTACGACATTGCGACATTCATAAAGTCGCATATGGGTTTGTGTTACAAGACCCTGGAAAATATACGTGGTTCATACAATTGTCTATAGAATGGCCCATATTCTCAATCTATTAGAAAGTGTTTGTACGACAATCGTACACTTATCTTTTTAAGACAGTATTTCTTCTATTTTCTATTGAAAAATGGACTTATATATACGTAATTAAGAAGATCGGAAACGAAGAATATTGTTAGTGTTAATATAGTGTAGAGAGAATACGTAGTCTAATTAAAATGTAAAATGATACGAATTTGACGCTATTGCAAATTCATAGGGATAATCTATTGATACACTAACTTAGCAACTCTCATTTTTTTTTTGCAACATTGTATTACATAAGTTTGCAGCACTGACATATACATTTAGTATATATATGCTTGGGTTCTTTTTTGATATCGAAAGTAGTAAATTATCCTAGTAATTGTTTAAGGGCTATTGATATTGTGGCCTATAATATTGGAACATCAGAGTTTACGCTTAAATACAGCATAAAGAAACATATCTTTTAGTAATGGATGAATATTATGAAAGTCTTTGCAAATATGATGATGAGTCTGTCAAAAAATACATGATAGAAGACTTCGACTTTACAACTTGGTATTTAGACAACAAGGAATCTTCATTAAGTAAATTCGCTGTTTCTATTTTTATATTCAATAATTTCATTAATGAGAAGTTGATTTTAAAATATAAACCGTTTGACTTATGGACTTTGCCTGCCAGCGTATGGGCATATGCTGACTTAATATCAAGATTTGATTTTTTGAAATACAGTGTTGGCAAAGCCGTAATAATGCTAAAATACGATGTTATATATTTTCACAATGATTTCCTTCCCGAGTGGGAGTTGTTTAGTACTGCTGCTAAATATAGTAATAAAGAAGTTTATAAGCATCAATTATTGAATGCTAAAAAGTATGGCTGCTTCTTTAAAATCCTAGATATGGATAATGAAAAAGTTCTTGAGGATTACGAAAAGGTAGATATTAAAGAACTTCCATTTGAGGATTGTGAGGTCGATTATTAAATAATGATCCATCTATATAAAAATCATTAATGTTACTTAAAGTCTGAATTACCATTAAATACAATAATTTTATTAGTATCAAGAGTAACAGCAACTTATTTTGCTCGAATCAAAGAAAGAAAATATTGCACACCAAACCCGATCACGATTTTTGTTTATCTATTAGTTTTATGTCTTAGTTAGACTTAAATCCTCAGGCTTATCTTGATCCAAAATATGTATTCTTTTTATTAATCACTTTGTATAGTCTATATAAATGAGACTCAAACTTAACATCTCACATATAAAGATCTGTCCAACAGATGAATATATTTCATTTCTTTCGCATAACACTCACAAAATTTGACTGCAAATTCTAGGTCAAGCATGATAAATCGATATAAACATACTCATGATACTTGGTTTTATCCCGGAAAAGAAGTTCTTAGCAATCCCATCAAACATTCCATTATAAACAGGGAAGATCAATTTATTCATACGAAATGTCATGGAATAAGATCATACAACCTTCATTTAACTGAATCGTAGTTCTACAAAACCTATATAATCTGTTAGCGCATAAATCCAACGGTCTATGCGCTTAGAAAGCCAGGGTCATTTATCGCACTAGTAAATATAATAATTATCTACTGTTTAGTTGAAAAATGAAACATATATTATTCATTTTCTGGTTTTTCATCCTATCCAATTGCATAAGATGTCCGAAATCAGTTTAGGAAGATATATATTTGAAAGACTCAGACAATTGCTGGTCCAGACGGTATTTGGGCTCCCTGGGGACTTTAACTTGTCACTTTTAGACAAGATTTACGAGGTTGACGGACTTCGATGGGCAGGTAATGCCAATGAATTGAATGCAGCATATGCAGCAGATGGCTATAGTAGGGTGAAAGGGCTTGCATGCTTGATTACAACTTTCGGGGTGGGAGAATTGAGCGCTCTTAATGGGATCGGAGGAGCTTTTGCAGAACACGTAGGATTGGTGCATATAGTGGGGGTTCCGTCAATCTCGTCACAAGCAAAGCAACTTCTATTGCATCACACGTTGGGCAATGGAGACTTCACAGTGTTTCATAGGATGTCGAACAACATATCACAAACAACAGCATTTATATCTGATATCAAGTCCGCACCCAAGGAAATTGACAGGTGCATACGAGAAGCCTATATTTTCCAAAGACCAGTGTACATTGGATTACCAGCCAATCTAGTGGATATCAACGTTCCGGCATTGTTGTTGAATACTCCGATAGATCTTTCGCTTCGTGAGAATGATCCTGAGGCACAGGAAGAGGTTATAGACAATATATTGCAGTTAATCTCTGAAGCCTCCAATCCGGTGGTATTGGTCGACGCATGTACTTCAAGACACAATTGTAACGGAGAAGTTGAAGCATTGGTTAATAAGACCCAGTTTCCAGTATTGACAACCCCTATGGGTAAATCTAGTTTTAACGAATCGCATCACAGATTTGCTGGGGTGTATGTAGGCACTATGTCGCATGTGGAAGTTAAAAACTTAGTGGATGGAGCCGACTTGATTTTGGCCGTCGGAGCTTTGTTATCAGACTTTAACACCGGATCTTTTTCCTACTCTTACAAGACCAAGAATGTGGTTGAGTTTCACGCAGATTGCATCAAAATTAAACAAGGGACGTATCCTGGGGTGCAAATGAAAGAAGTTCTCAATGTTTTGCTTGATAAAATAGACCCAGCAGTTAAACATTATAATCCTATTGCCATCCCCTCTCCAACTTTTTTGACCAACTCTGTCACCAACTCGGACGTGCTGTCGGCATTACTTACCCAGGAGTGGTTGTGGAGTAAGGTCAGTGCTTGGTTTAGAGAAGGTGATATAATCATTACCGAAACAGGTACATCAGCATTTGGGATTGTCCAAACGAAATTTCCCAATAATACCATTGGTATTTCGCAAGTGCTATGGGGCTCGGTTGGGTTTACAGTGGGGGCTACATTAGGAGCAGTCATGGCGGCAGAGGAAATCGACCCCAATAAAAGAGTCATATTATTTGTGGGGGATGGGTCGTTACAATTGACGGTGCAAGAAATTTCAACCATGGTTAAGTGGGAAACCAGACCGTACTTATTCGTTCTCAATAACGAAGGTTACACGATCGACAGATTAATACACGGAATGAGTGCAACATATAACGATATACAGCCGTGGAATAATCTTGCATTGTTACCTTTATTCAACGCAAAATACTACGATGCAATCCAGGTTTCCACTACTGATGAACTAGAGAAGTTGTTCTGCGATGAAGAATTTGCAATCAATTCGAAAATCAGAATGATAGAAGTTATGCTACCAAGAATGGACGCACCGATAAATTTAATAAAACAGATGGAATTCATATCAAAAATGAATGCCGATACCTAACTTTAGTCCGGATACTTTATAGACTTGTATTTCATACTTCATAGTAATTGTTAAAATATGTAAACGTTTATTTTGCGTGTGACACGACGATCAACTGTGGAACATTTTTCAAGTAACAAGCGTGCAATGTTACCTTAAAGGTTTTCTAGCTTATCCTACTAGTATTCCAGACTTATTATTTATAGAGGCTATCGACCATAATATAGACGTATTGGCCTGATCCATTACTATTGATTTAGATCTACAAATTTTTTGTATCTGTGTGTATTATCTAAACCATCGCTTATCAGATAAGAATGATAAAATGGGGTTTATTTGGGGCGGTTAAGCCTTTCAGATCCATGGTACCATTTTCACAAACAAGATCATTGATAATTTCCAAGTCTTCATTTGTGTCCTCCAAACGAGTTTCAACTATAAAGTCCCAATTGACCCCGGTTAATCCGTACTCTAAGGTCTATGGAAGAAGATTTTTTCAGTCTTCCCATAAATTGGGAGTTAATTCTAAGGAAGATTCGTCCACCTATTTATTTGGGAGAAAGATATCCACCTCAGAACTGAAGATGCTTAAATCCTTGTTAGTGACTATATGGCCGAAAAATAAACCAAGCTTTAAGCTCCGGGTCATATTTGCATTATCATTATTGATTGCTTCGAAGTTATTGAACGTGGAAGTTCCTTTTTTCTTTAAGAAGATTATAGATGAGATGAATATAGATTGGACTGATCAATTAGGAACCGTGGGAACTGTAATTGGTACTTTGATTATTGCGTATGGTGGGGCAAGATTTGGAGCAGTCTTATTTGGAGAATTAAGGAACGCGGTATTCGCTTCAGTAGCTCAAACAGCCATTAAAAGAGTTGCACATAATACATTTGTACATTTGTTGAACATGGATTTGAACTTCCATTTATCTAGACAGACTGGTGGTCTAACTAGGGCAATTGACAGAGGTACGAAAGGTATTTCATATGTCTTGAATGCCATGGTATTTCATATTATCCCTATTTCGTTTGAAATCTCCATGGTGTGTGGAATTTTAATTTATAACTATGGATTATCGTTTGCTGCTGTTACATTAGCCACTATGTTGAGTTATTCGGTGTTTACTATTAAGACTACGGCATGGAGAACAGGCTTCAGGAGACAAGCTAATAATGCAGATAATCAAGCTGCGACAGTTGCATTAGACTCATTAATTAATTATGAGTCAGTTAAGTATTTCAATAATGAAGGGTTTCAAGCATCAAAATACGATACGGCTTTAACCAATTACCAGAATGCTTCAGTTAAAGTAGCCACATCGTTGGCATACTTGAATGCTGGTCAAAACTTTATTTTTACATCCGCTTTAACGGCAATGATGTATATGGGATGCAATGGTGTTGCCACAGGATCGTTAACAGTTGGTGATTTAGTGTTAATTAACCAGTTAGTTTTCCAGTTGTCTGTTCCTTTGAGTTTTTTGGGCTCAGTTTACAGAGAATTAAAACAATCTTTACTTGACATGGAAAATTTGTTTCAACTACAAAATCATGAAGTAAAAATTAAAGATGCCCCGAATGCCAAACCATTAGTATTAAACAGCACAGGTATCCCGGGAGAAATTAAGTTTGAAAACGTTACCTTTGGGTACCATCCAGATAGACCAATTTTACAAAATGCATCATTCACAATTCCAGCAGGCGAAAAAATTGCCATTGTTGGACCCTCTGGAAGTGGTAAATCAACTATATTGAGGTTAATTTTCAGATTTTATGATGTTGAAAGCGGTAAAATTTTAATTGATGGTCAAGATATTTCAAAGGTTACTGTTGAGTCATTAAGAAAGTCAATAGGTGTTGTTCCACAGGATACCCCCTTGTTTAACGATACTATTCTTGAGAACATCCGGTATGGTAGATTAGATGCTACAGATGAAGAAATCCATGAAATGATCGAAAAAGTACAATTGGCAAAGCTTATGGAGGATTCGCCAAATGGAGTTAATACTATAGTTGGTGAAAGAGGTATGATGATTTCTGGTGGTGAAAAGCAAAGATTGGCTATAGCTAGGTTACTATTGAAAAGAGCACCTATTACCTTATTTGATGAAGCTACCTCAGCTTTGGACACTCATACAGAACAATCATTATTGAGAACAATTAGAACAGTCTTAACTAGAAAGGCAAATACACATATAGCCATTGCCCATAGGTTAAGAACTATTGCTGATGCTGATAAAATTATTGTTTTGAACAAGGGCCAGGTTCAAGAAGAAGGTAACCACCATAACTTGTTGCAGAACCCTAGCTCATTGTATTCTCAATTATGGAATATCCAAGAGAACTTGGATATTGATGAGGAATTGAATGAATATGCAAAGGAATCTGAAGAACAGAAACAGAAGGCGGAACAGGAAAAGAGTACATAATTGTATAAATAAGATGTGAATAGAAGCTCGTAAATATTTTCGCGATCAAAAAGTAGTTTTAATTCACTGAAAAATATGACTCAATCAACCTGATTTATCTCTGTGGATAATATGTGCAAGCCAATAGACTGCTCTAGCTGCAGTAAGTATTTAACAATTCGTCTAACATACGTCAGAGAACCTCTGGTCTTCTTTTAATTGCTAATTTTAAAGAGTTTTATTTACTAACAGAAACTTCAGCTGGAAAGACATGGATTGGTTGTGGATTGCACATTCCATACGCCATGAGCTTAGTTCCAAAGGACCTGTGGTGTACTTGTATTTCGGAATCAGGTGTTGAAAGTGAATATCCTCCTGAATTTGGTGATGGAGTCGCATCTGAGGAAAATGAATTATCGGTCAAGATTCATCCTAGAGAATCATTAGCCTAAGTACTTTTAATAATAATATACATGAACATTTACCGTTTTTTATCTATTAATTAATTTATAAAATTATTTATATTTACAGGAGTTATGGTAAATTGTTAATCAAATCATTATAGAACTTACCAATTGCTTGCTTTTCTATATTTGCAACTTCTATATTTTGAACTAAGTTCTTTAGGCCATGTTCAGGTAATTTTTGTAACTTTTCTTTGATGAATTCTTCTCTCATCGAAACCAAATCACTATGATACTGCATTAAGTCACCAAGCATTATTTTTGAAATATTGTTCATTGTAATCGCCAACTGCTTTGACCAGTCTGAACCTTTTCTTAAGGACTTTAAAGTCCATTCGTCATAATGCAACTTGTACCAGTGCCATAATTTCAAAATATCTTTTTTAGAGCGCTTGAACTGAAATCCTACTAAGGCTAATTCAATCAATTTGGAATCAATATTAGTCATAACAAAGTTCAAAGATTTCGAAAGTAGATCTTCATGTTCAACAAATGACAATGATGAAACAGCGACAGTCTGTAATTGTTCGATAGAAGAATTAGAATTATTCAATGATGAGTTATTTGAATTCTTCACCAACTGCAAGATCTGCTTGTATTCCTTCTGGTTAGCTTGGCTCATAGTTAAATTAAAAATCGATGGCAATAATTCCATTGGTGTGAATGGTTTATTAGAATTAGGATTAATAAAGTTCTTAAACATTTTTCTGCTAATATCTTGAAACTTCAGGATACCCAGGCCTATATGTAATATAAGGTTTCTAACTTCCATTTCAATCAGCGAATAATCAGAAGTTAACAGGTATAACCTTTCCCAGTTGCCAACCTTGTTGAATAATTTTGTAATATAATTTTCAAGCCATCTCTCATACTCTGAATAATTACTGAAATGAAGAAAAATATTACTAATGGTTTCCAAATAATCTAAGCCAACTTTCAAAACATTGTAGTTGATTTCCCATTCGGAATCAGCAAAGCAGCTCAACACCGCAAAAATAGATATTAAATGTTGGCTTGTCGAATTCTCTTGACCCAATAATTTTCCATAATCATTGATAATAGAGATAATTTCTTGAGGAGTGAAATTGTTATTGATTATGTTAGCACATATATGGGGAATAAATTCTTGACTGTAAACAACTTTATAGTAACCCGATTTGTTAGAATTCAATGTGATAAATTGATCTAAAGGAATTGGAACCTCTAGATTTCTATCAGTTAACATAATGTTCAAAATCTTAATATTCTTCTTGTCGTCAATAAATTTGATGGATAATGGTAAATGATATGGAGTGTCCTCTAAGTCGAAATCTTGAGCTCTATTGTTGAATAAATATCTATGTTGTTCAATGATTATTTTATCGCCTTTAGTTGTTACATTGACAATAGGATAGCCAGGATATCTGACCCATGAATGAACAAAGCTCAATAAGTCAATACTTGTAAATTCATTCAAGACATTCCAAAAATCGAATGGTTTGATATTCTTGAATTTGTATTTTTCTATAGCTTTCGCAACACCCTTTAACATATTTGAATAATTCGCTTTCGAGGAATCATCTCTAGATAAATTTTCATTTTCCAATATACTTCCAATCATAGACAACAAAATGATTCCCTTTTCGTATGTTGTTTTATCGAACAAATCCTGGGTACAATCTGACAAGGACGGCTTCATACCAGAAGTTATTTGATGAATGCTAGGCAACGAAGAGGAATCCGTAGTTTCGTCGTAAAAACAATCTTGATCCATTATGGCTTCCTGATCATGTAACAATTTCATTTCGAAAGCATCGTTCTCGTAATCCGCTTTATCTAATCTAGCGACATAGAGCAAATAATTTCCTAACCATGTTGCAAAAGATTCGTTCAACCATAAATTAGACCATTCATCAAAAGAAATCAAATTTCCGACCCATTGGTGAACTAGCTCATGAGCTATCAATTGACGCAATTGAAGTTTGACTGATTCGTGCGAGCTCTCGTCAGTTAGCAATTGGCTGGATAAAACAGTTACTAATCCCCAATTTTCCATTGCGCCATCACTTAAGAATGGTAATGCAACAAAATCCAACTTGTCCAATGGGTATCTATGATTAAGCAATTCTTGTAATACTGGTAACAAGGAAGAAATAACATACAATGGATATGAACATGAGGATAAGGTTCCAATTGGCGCATACATTCGAACAGGAATTACATCGTCATCGCTCTCCAAGTATTCTAAATCACCAATGACGAACCCAAACACAGAAGAAGCTATTGGTGGTGTTGGCTTAAATGCAAATGTTGCATTTTCGGACATAGGTACCGGGCAAGGATCAGCGATCAAGGAAGAATTAGACAATACCTTGAACGAGCTCAATGTGTCGATGGTTAACTTGATCGGAACCTTGAAGTTCAATTCGTCTACTAACGGAAAAATCAATTTACATGAATGAGGTTGTGTATGGGTAGCCAAGATATAGTTATTCGATCTACCCGAAATGGAATCCAAATAGTTTGTCTTGAAAAGTCCCTTCGTTTGGTCCTTATACGTTTTAATAGTGTTGATCTGACCCATATACACTAAAGTGATCTTAGCCTTTTCGGGACTTTTCCACTCGTAGTTTGAATTAATCGTAAGCGAAACCTCATGTCTACCTCGGTCATATTGCACTTTTAAATCCGTAGCTTCTCCTCCATCATTTAAAATAGCTTTAGTAATAATAAGCTTATTGGCATGTAACGTAAATCTAAACTCTTTAAACAACCCATGATAATTTTCGTTTTTTTTAATGTCAATTGTAACTGTACCATTGAAATTTGGCTTCAAATGGTTAATGTTTAAACGTAAATCATAAAATTCAGGAATGTACTGATTTCTCAATGACAAAAGCTTTAAACTAGTGTCAATTTGAGACCCGTCCAATTTTCTAGACAAATCACTGACACTGCCTTCTTTACTTGACATTTGCTCTCTTCTGTAACTCTGTATCTGGTAATTGTATAACTATCCAGTGGTAACCGTTTTTTTGTGAAAAATTATGTTCCCTGTACATAAACTATAATCCCAACAATAATTTTTTCGTTTATTATATACGACTTCATGGTTATAAAAAAGAGAGCTAAATAGCACTTTTTTTTCATTGAAGGGATATTCTGGCCTCTAAAACTGTATAGGAGTATAGCCGATAGTGACAAAGTCAAATTAATTTGAAGAGGAAAAGTAACTCACACATATAATCGACGTGGACAGTGAATTGTTAATAAAATAGTTTTAATGGGGTTATTAACGCAAGCAAAACCAAATTCCAACGATGAACTAGACTTACAACTCATTGATCCGGGAAGGATAAAAATCGATTGTTCGGGATCCTATATTGCTAATGATCATTTATTGAGAGAACAGTATCAATCACCAACACCTTCAACGACACCATCACCACAAGCATCTGATTCTTCATCCGAGTCTGATGGAGACGTGGATGGAGAGCTTAACGGATTTAAAGAGGGAGAAAGCGAAAGCAGCAATGAGCCAAAGGGGAATTCTGCGTTACCTCCAGATTTGAAGATGGTGGACGTTTCCTCTAATCGAATTAGAGAAATTGAATTAACTACCACAAACCAGAACAGTGAGTACGATCTCACTAAGAATATTACCTTGCCAAAGCACAATTCTGAGGTGATTCATGTTTCTGTTGATATTGGCGGCACATTAACTAAACTTGTGTATTTCACGAAGAGTCATAGGGTAGATGGAAAAGGTGGGGGAAAATTACATTTCAAAGATTTTCAAACTGAAACGTTCAGCAACGAGGTGTTGAAGTTTATGATCAAATTAATCCAAAAATCGATCCACAAGAAAGAGGTTCCACCCATTACCTACATAATGGCTACGGGTGGTGGTGCCCACAAATTTTACCAATTGATGACTAAAACGTTTCGTAAATACAAACTTCCAATGAAAATTATAGCAAAGGACGAAATGCAGTGTCTCATCAAAGGTTTGGATTGGTTAATAACGAAAATTCCAAACGAGATCTTTACATACGATTTGGAAGAGAATAATACAAAATTCATCCCTAACCCGTATACCCATGATGAACAAATCTATCCTTATCTTTTGGTCAACATTGGAAGTGGTGTATCTATGATCAAAGTTACCGGGCCTGGGCCCGATGGCTTTGAAAGAATCGGTGGTTCATCATTAGGAGGAGGTACGTTGTGGGGTTTGTTGTCCTTACTCACCGACGCCAACGACTACAACGAAATGTTAGAAATGGCCCAACGAGGTAATAACGAAAACATCGACTTGTTAGTAGGGGATATATACGGATCAAACTACAATAAAATAGGTTTGAAGTCAAGTCATATTGCATCTTCCTTTGCCAAAGTGTTCAAAAAATTAAGATTCAATAGCGATCCCAACAAAGATAACACTCTCAACGGAAGTCTCAGATTGACACCTGCTGAAAAACTAGCTCAGTTCAGGCCAGAGGACATTGCCAGATCTTTGCTATACCTGATTTCAAACAACATAGGTCAAATCTCGTATTTGCAAGCATTAAGATTTGGCTTGAAGAGAATATATTTCGGTGGCAGTTATATCTCAGGCCATAAGCAGACTATTCATACTCTCTCATACGCTGTTAATTTCTGGTCCCATGGTGACATGAATTCTTACTTTTTGAGACACGAGGGTTATTTAGGAAGCGTAGGTGCTTTCATGATGGGTCCTAACTGCGAGACGTTGAAAAATAATGAATCGAATTCCCCAAAGTCCAACAAATCATGAACATTTATGTGTTATGAATACTTCTTTATTATTCAATTCTCACTTTGCATATATACGTTGTGTATATTTATTTATTATTACTATTCATTTACTATTCATTTACTATTCATAGTAGATCTAATTATCACCTAAGTTAAATGTAACGTTGCAGTTGTAGGGTTACATTAAAAATGATTTTATGACACAAAATATCGTCTCCAAATTAACAATCGATGGAACATAATATATAATAACATACTTCCTTACTTAAATTATTTTCATGATTGATGATGAACGATAATAGTCTGAATCTACAATCAACTTATTCAAATACCCTACATCCCATTCATACAAAAGAAAAAATTAATAATAGTAATTCTCATAGTAACGGAAATACTAACAATAATAATAACAATAATAATAGTAATATTAAAAATTCTCCATTACCATCAAATTCGATATATAACGGACAATTTTTGTATTCATCATATCCAAACTCAAGTCCCTTAATACATACATTCAATTCTGAGTGGGTCGATACCCCAGATAACTCACCATCTCGTACCAAACCGTATAATCAAGATATGTCTACAACTATTTTAGCAGATACTGCAAGTGCAGCTGCACCGCAGAATGAAGATTCTTCGAATAAATCTAAATTCGAAACACCGTCGAAACCTAAAGCATCAATTTCATTCATAACACCGGTGACAGAGTCTAAGACATACGATACTATTATTCTCAATGAGAAGCACCTCAAGCCTTTATCGCCCGAGCCTGTTAAACAACATAACGTGAAGTCGATGGACATATTATGGGCAATGTTGCACAACATCACTGGTAAGGATAAAATGGCCAAATTTGGCCAGTTTACGTTGAGGCTATTACTCTATCATGCCAAACAAACACAGAATTATCTTAGTGACGGGTATATCAATATCAATGTTATAAATTCAAGATACAGTGACAAAGAGAAGAAGCTAAATTTATTAAAAAACTTCTTACGCCATCCCCGAGACTTTATTAAGATAATAGTTATATTGGCTTGTTCAATATTCAGGTCCAGGTTGAGCGGTACTGCTGGCGGTTTATCATTATTCAGACAATTTCTCAGGTTTGGCCAGTCTCCATTCAAAATCCGTCGTTTGAAAAATAAATTAGTATCAAGAACAACAATTGCTACGAAATCGGGTGATTATATGATAGACGTGTCGGGCGTTGGAAAGTGTTTTACAAAAGATGTTTTGGGTGATATATTTTCGTTATACTATAGTGTATTTGATGAAGCAGGGTTATTATATAAGATGAATTTTTTCAAAAGCAAAACCTTCCATAAGGTTATTTTAAGACACGAGTCTCTCGCATGGTACTACGAAACGTTACTTGGTATATATAATGCGTATGATAGGTTGCAAAAGTTGAACCAACAAGAAATGGACGTGAAAATTCAAATACAAGTTAAAAGTAAAGCTCGACTGTTATCAAAACAATTGTTAGGTGCTAGCTCGATTGAAGGGCTTTCTCACGAGGATGATACAAAAGACGCTCAACAGCTAAAGGAAATACAATTCAAAAAATACAACTCGTACATTGATATTTACAAATGGTTGTCCGATTTCATTTTTAATACATACACGGTGTTCAACATGGCTTTACCATTTGATACTTTACAATTATGGATGGGTATAAGTGCATCTTCTTTGAGTATACTCAAATTATATCGAGAAACAAGAAAACGGTTGATAGCTGAATCTTTGCAGAAATAGTAGAATTCTTAATATAGACTAATGAACTTCAAGGCGATTTAATATCTTCTATAATATCCTGTAGTGTAATATCGTCAGGTAACTCGGCCGCATCTTTCCAAAACTTAGATAAGTGTCTTGCACCCGAATCACAAGCTATGATCACTATTTTTTGGCCAGGTCCATACTTGAAGGCAGTCTTAACTGCCGCAACGCAATTGATGGCAGAAGACGAACCCCAGAAAAGGCCATCATTGATACATAAAAACTTTGCCATTTTTAATGCTTGTTCATCACGAACTCTAATCGCTTCGTCGATATTGTGCTCTCCCTGTTGGAAATTCCAAGTAAGCCTGTTTAACCCTATGCCTTCCACCAAAGTATCTACCTGATGTCTTCTTCTTGTCCCTTCCCTTTCGACGGAGTCGTACATTACACCGTAATTTACCCTATTGGCTAAGCCTGAGCCCTGAGGATCTGCCAAAACTATCCTTATACGATCATTTTTTTCTTTTAAATACTTGGAGACACCAGCAATCGTACCCCCAGTGCCAGAGCCATTTATAAATACATCAAGATTTTCCTCCATCTGTTCCCAGATCTCAGGCCCGGTCGAGCTATAGTGTATCCGCCAGTTGAAGTCATTTTCGAACTGATCTGCAAATATTGCATTCTTGTTATTAGACGGGTCTTCATTGATTTTATGTGCCCCATACCTCGCTGCATTTGTATATTGGCTGGGATCCACTATTGACGCAGGTTTTACTGGTTCCAATTCTGCCCCCAACGACTTCAATAATTGCATTTTTTCTGGCGAAGTATCGTCTGGAAGGCATATATGCGCCTTATATCCTAAAGCATTGGCTAGAACCGCAAACGATATCCCAGTAGATCCTGAAGTACCCTCAAATATCACATCCCCATGGTTTGGCTTCAATTTTCCTAGTTTCTCGTTTGCTCTTATAATAGAAAACGCCACTCGATCCTTAGCACTCCCCGCCGGGTTCATCAATTCCAACTTAGCATATATCTTGCATCCTGTAAGCTTAGATAAGGATTTGATCTCAATCATCGGAGTATTTCCAATCAAAGATTCCACTCCTCTCGACCTAGGAGATAAAGTAGTGAGTCTTTTTTTGTTATTATTTAGCTGCTCATGAATCCGCTGGAGTATGATTAAGGCTGATACGATTGCGGCACTCGACCTTAGAATAAGCTTCCAATTGATCATCTTGGTATATAAAGAAGCTATACTATCTAAAAGCCAAAATTCATTTCTCAAAATTCATTGAATCAGGTGATGACGTTTTATTAAAAAATAATAACAGTAATAAAAGTATTGGGTATTATACTAAATATACTGTATCTGTTCAAGGGAAAAAGAAGTAAAAATGCCTAATAAAGGAGGCTGGAAGTTTAGGAAACCTCGAGGCTCCAGAGCTTGTACAGTTTGTCGCTTAAGAAAGGTTAGATGTGATGCAGAAACACAGATGCCATGTTCGAACTGCATTTCGTTCGGCTCAGATTGTCGGTTTCCTGAACCTAGAAGAAAGAAGGGAAGCAATAACGCAACTAGCGCATCTCAACCTAATAGTCCTGCGGTTCAATTAGGCGATAGAGTGAATAATTTGCCAATGGTAAATGCCTATGGTGGGTCGATTCCATCAAATAATTTTTCAACGATAGCACTCAATAATACGTATAATGATGTAAATACGCCAGTTCCACAAACATTTCAATTGCCACAAGCTGGACAAGTTAATCATTTGAATAATCGGGTTCCTCATCAGCATATAATGCTGCAGCAAGTGCAGCAATTCTCGCCGATGGCACAAGATCATAATATACAACAAATGCAAGCGCAGACACAGGCACAAAATGGCAACCAAATGGTCAGTATGCCGTCAAGTCAACAGTATATGCCAACGTCTAATCAGCCATATGCCACTTCTCTGAGCAACCCGCACTTCATGCCGTCTCTGTCAATTCAGCTGCATGGCCAACCGTGGATGCAACATCAGACAAACAAGATTGACAATATCCCATCGTATGTTCCTAATGACCCGTTGTCTAATATATCTGTCAGAAATGTGATGCCTCAGTATAACCCATCTGACACAAGTACTCCGTCTAATAATGGTGTCAAGGTAGCGCTGAGCAGGAAGTTAAGTAAGTATTTACATTTGGGTCCTTCGTCTTGTTATTCCTATTTTGCTGATGACGGATACTTCAAGAGAAGTGAGGATAAAGCGGGCGAGCATGTTGCAGAAATGGGATATAACATGTCCTCTAGTATAGATCCAAGAGAAATCATGACTGAATTACAAGTATTGAACATAAAGGGTGCATTTAGTTTACCTCATAGATCTGTTATGTTAAATATATTTGAAGCATTCTTTGATAACATTTATCCGCTGATCCCCCTAATTAATAAGGATATATTCATGAACCATTTTAACGATCCAAATCCGGACAGGCAACCTCCCTTAATGTTAATACAGGCTATCCTTTTGGCAGGATCAAAATACTCCCAAGACCCAGCGATTGTTGACTCTAACAACAATAGTGCAGCTGCAAGTTTTGCATTTTATCAAAGAGTTAAATCATTATACGATTCCACTGTAAAATTTGAATATGTTGGTGACGGGGATGATGATGAAGGGCATCTAGCGTTTAGTTATCCGACAATATTAGTTCAGATTTCTTGCTTATTGTCGTGGCACTGGGTAGATCCAGAAGATGTATCTAGGGGTATATATTTCTGGATTAGAAATGCCATTACAATAGCCCAGACATTCGGATTTCATACGAATATGGAAGAAGCACCATTTGTTCAGCACTTATTAAACAAGTATAAAGATGATGAACTACAAACCTATAAAATTCATCAACAGATATTCTATTGGAAAAAGATTTGGTGGTGGTTATTTTGCAGAGATAGATCTGCTGCGATTAGTTTTGGAAGACCCTTAACAATAAATATGCACGAAACATCTTGTGATGTACCCACCATGCATGATTTTGAAAAGTATGAATCCGAGAATTGGTCTCTTGATAATAAAGAAGACCGACTTCTTGCTGAGTATTTCATTCATACCATTTACTTGTCAGAGATTTTGGGCTTGGTAATACAAGAACAATATCATACCAGGCGTGCGCAACATTCAGAGGTTACCATGTCCAGGAGTACCAAAGTCGTAAAACAATTAAACTTGTTGATGGGTATATTCTTTAAACAATTACCAAGTGAGCTTAAATTTACTGCTAATGATTCTAAATCAATGAATGTATTTTCTTGCTTATTAGGCACCGTTTATTATATCACGCTCTACCATATCAATAGAGTGAAACTAATTGCCATTCAGGGGGATGACAATAAGTATTGGGGGATTTCTTTTCAAGCTGCATATATGACATCACTCATCGCTCAATATTTAAGTGATAGGATGAGTTCGGGAGAGAAGTTAATGTTATCCCCTCTGTTGGTATATACTATGTCCATGGCAATGATTATACTATCATTCCACACAGACTCTAGTAATAAGATTGTATCCCAAACTGCATCGAAACAAATGCATGTATGTTTAAATTTCTCGAGACAATTTCATGCTTCGTGGCCAGGTGTTACTTATCTGTTAGTTACATTTTTTACCGAAAGATTGAACAGAGAAGATAAAAAGGATGAAATGGTTTCAAGGGCAAAATCCGTATTGATCAAGATATGTCAGGATTTCAGATCAGACGAAGACAAAGGAAAGCCGGGTCATCTGAAAAATCTGAAATCGTTTGATTTAAACTTTTTGCTAAATGAAACCAACGATCAAACTGTCTCTGATACTTCAGGTGACGAAGATTATGCCTATGACAAGGAAGATGAAGACTTGAGTTTGCCTATGCACAATATTGTTACCATTGAACTTCCACCATCAGATTCCGAATTCTGTAAGACATTTAATGCTACACACTTATTTCCTAAGGGCACAGGAAAGAACCACACCATCTCGCCTACGCCAACCCCATTACAATCCCCTCTATCTACAAAAGTAAACCCCCAGGAACAGTTTCATTCACATTCAGGGCCATCTAATATGCAACTACAGCCACCCAATGATGCTAATGCCTCCGGATCGCACAACGGTATCTCCGATCAACAACTATTTTCTGAAAATTTCCCTGGTGCTTTTGTCGCAAATTCAAATGCATCCACTACTACCCCAGTCCATTCCTCAGCTGCATCATTTGGAACTGATAACATTCCACTATATCCTACGGCACCTGATGCTCCAATGTACCCATTTCCTCCACCAGCACCCCAGCCTACCACGCTTGATTTTCAGGATAATGCTGTCTTGGATAGTCAGTACTTCCTAAACGTGAATAGCGGTGTTAATTGGAATACTTATAATATTTAATCTGGTATTATATTATCCATTGTAGCCTTCATACTTTACCTGGGATAATATCCAATCAGCACATTTTTTCCGTTGCCGTTATGTATAATAGCTATATTAATTTAAAAATGTACGATATATTTTAGATCTATCTATGCCTGAATGTAATTTACGAACTGAAATTTGGTCGATTACTGACTTGACGGATTTTTTTTTTTTCGCAAACAGTTCCCCAGTAATTGGAAAGAAAGTGGAGGTTAGTGATCGACAGAAAGATAACACTGATCAATTAACTTAATTTATCATGGCTAGTAAAGTGAAGAAAGAAAGACAAGATAATCCGGGAGAAGCTTTGGAGTCAGCTGGTAACAATACAAATGGAAGTGGTAAAAGTAGTTCAACGCAGAACGTAAATAATAATAATAATAATCAAGAAAAACCAAAAGCATTCACAATTAAATATAAGAGACCAAGAGGATCGAGAGCATGTGTCGTTTGTAGATCAAGAAAGGTTAGATGTGATGCAGAAATTCATATTCCATGTACTAATTGTATAACGTTTGGATGTGAATGTACGTTGCCGGAAGCTAAAAAGAGGGGCAATGTATCTGCCGAATCGAAAGCAAAAAGAACTAAAACCAACGATAAAGAAACAGGAGGCCAGCCTGTGACACCGTTAAACCCGAGTATTAAAACAGAAAGCAAGAATTCAACCGGGAATCCAAGTCTAGGCAATCTAGCACCATTAGCAGCGGAATCTCAGGGTAATGCATCGACTCTTGAACCGGTATTGAATATTTCACAAGTAAGTGTTCCGCCATCTTTGACATCGAATTACAAAACGAGACCATCAATGCATAAGAAGGAGTTGGCTAATGGTAAAGGTAAAGCGGCGTTGACGTTTTTGGGGTCTTCGTCAATCGGGCAGGTGGCTCAGAAGGTGGGACAGAATCATGTCCAGTTAACTGAAGATGTGTTTGACTCTAGCGAAAACTCACTTGACTCGGCAGAGTTGGAGATTTTGAAGTTGCGAGGAGCGTTTCTTCTACCATCCCATGAGCTTTGTTTAGACTTGATTAATTCGTATTTCGAACATGTTCATCCTTTGATGCCTGTCCTCAATCGAACGGAATTTATGAGAAAGTTTAATGACCCACAAGATAACCCATCTTTAATGGTCCTTCAGGCGGTATTGCTTTGTGGGTGTAGAATTTCCCAAAATCCATTGTTACTTGATTCTAAAGGATCTAATAACTTAGCGTCGTTAACTTTTTTCAGAAGAGCAAAGGCGCTATACGAGTCTAACTATGAAAGTGATCCAACCTCGATCATTCAGACATTAATCTTGATTGGTTCATATGGTGAAGGCCCCGAAGATGTTACAAAAAATTCGTTTTATTGGACCAGAGTTGCTGTAGGGTTAGCGCAAGGATTTGGTTTTCAAAGAGATATTAGTAACTCCCCTGATTTAAGTGAAACCGACAAAAAAATCTGGAGAAGAATTTGGTGGTGTTTGTTTGAGAAAGACCGTAACGTGTCCATCGCCTACGGTAGACCATTGGTTATTGATCTAAACGATTGTGATGTTCCGATGCTTACGGTTGAAGACTTCAACGAAGATGAGCCTGATTATAAATCACCTTACCCTGTTAATGAAACGCAGGCCTTGTATATCATCCATTTGGTGAAATTGGCCGAAATTACAGGGATCATTATTAAATATCAGTATACTGTCAAAGCACAGCTGATGAAAACAAAAAACAAATTTTCTATTATTCAACATTGTGACATGCTAATGGGTATTTGGTTTGCAAATTTACCTCACCAGTTAGTGTTTTCTTTGAAAGATACTTCAACGCACAATTTTTACAGTTGTTTTTTGAATGCTCAATACTATAACCGTTTATACTTGATTCATAGATCGAATTTATTAAGAATGGCAAAGTCAAACTCAACGAATCCAAATAATTATAAATACCCTTCTTGGGGTATTTCCTTCCAAGCGGCTAGAATGATTTCAATTGTTTCTAAAATCTTATTGGATAGAAATCTTATTAAATTTTGCCCTGTTATGTTTATCTATATTGTTTTCACGGCGTTGGTAATGTTGATTTATCATGTTGATTCCCCTAATCATGTTATTGCATCAACCGCATCTGATTCATTATTTGTATCGAGGGCAGTAATGAAAGAATTAGCTAGGTACTGGCCCATTGCAAACGTTTTAATGAAGTTATTTGACAAATATGCAAATGATAAAATGAAAAGAGCGAAAGTCATCGAAACTGGCTCTAAGATAGCTGAATTACAAGATTTGCATGCCGATCAAAAAAATGTGGCTTCTGAAAGTAATATGAATAACTATTATTGTAGCGATAGCGGTACTCAAATTGAGAATGATATAATTGCTAAAAATGACGGGTCACCGTTGACTTATGGCAACAGGCCATCACCTTCCTACCTGATGTCTTCTGGTGTCTCTCCTGGTAGCACTTTGAACAAGAGTACCAGAAATCAACCAAATATTGAACAATTAGTTCAACAAATTAAACACTCTAAAGAAGATATTAAGAAGCCTGATATGTTATCCCCATCTATTAAAACTGGAGAAACGTCGCCAACATCATCAACCAAATCATTCCCAGATATATCATTAGTTACTGAGACCTTGCCGGCAAATCAGAATTTCTTTGAAAACTTTGAGCCAACTCAGTTGTTTCCTGATGTTAAATTTAGTTTACCCCCAACAAGGGCACAATCGCCATCAACTGCTCAAGATGTTGGTGATAATAATTATGAACAGCCTAATAATGAGAATGACGCAAATATGTATCAGGCCCCTGGTGCACCCGCTTTTGATACGAATTTTATGGACAGTTCATTTATCAATATGAATTTACAATCCTCCGCTACAGAAAATAATTTCTTGGATGATGACCTTACATCGCTTTTTAATATTCAGAGTTAGTTATACAGTTTTTATATTACTATATATCGGGTCTATTTGATGAAGACAGGTATATACCTATTTATTTATATTTGTAATAATATGATATGATTTTATTTCCAAAATGATTTCTTAGTCTTAGATTTCAGCTTAATATTCTTCAAATGTGCCAATATTTCTTCTCTCTTCAATTTTTGACTATACCCAATTAAATTTTGTATAACCGATTCATAAACTTCGTAATTCTGCTTCTGATCATCCAATTGTTTATTCCAAACACTACTCAATTCAATTAATTGAGCATAATTATCATTATACTGTTTCAATTTCTCTTGCAAATTCGCTGTGTTTGAGGATTCTAAGAATTGATGCGATGAATTATTTAAGTTATCTGTTTCAATAACTGATAAGATTTCTGTGGTTTTATTCAATAGGTCTGCTTTTTTATCTACTGAAATGCCCAAGTCTTCAAAAGCAGGTAAATCAAATCCGTCCCACTTTATGTCTTCTTCGTTGACAGACTTTCTACGTGGTACCTTTGGAGTTTGGAGTAAATGATTTTCTTTCTTTATCTCATCTAAATTAATCGGAACACCCAATTTGATCAACAAATTATGACGAACATTCAGCTTAATCCAGTTTGGAGGTTGTAGATGAGGGATTTGAGACAATTCTTTATATATTTCACCTGATCGTTCCGTCAATAAAGAATTCTCTTTGCTATCCTGATTATGGTGTTGGCTATGGCTTATATCAGTAAATACTTTATCCATTGTTTCATGCAAGTTTTTTTCAAATAGAGTTGGATTATTGAGCACTTCTTCACTGAAGTGTACACATTCACCTGATACCTCTCCTTGAGTATTTTCTGCTGCTTTTATTTCTTCTGGTTCCTCGAGTTCTGTAAACGAAGCGTCATCAAATGATCCAAAATCGCTGTCATCATCTTCGTCCTCCGCCACTATACCTCTATCGGCTTCATTAAAATCGTCAGGATCATCACTCGTTCGTGAATCTGGGTCTATTTCCTCCTCCTGATCTACTCGCCTAGCTTCATCACTTTCATCTTCTTTGTTCTTCTTGTCGTCGTCTTGGTCAATTCGTTCTTCTATTGTAGCCTCGCCCAAGTTATTCTTTTCCGTAACATTCATCTCACTAAACACTTCACTGTCTTCGCTCTTCATTGTTTCGTCCGGCATGCTTATCAATTCTCTCTTTTAGGTGTAATGTAGCTTATAGATTAACGATATTTTTGTTGATATCTTTTTGACATTTTTGTGCAACTTAATGTTCAGGCGTTATTGCAGCTATTAGAAGGTGTTCATATATAAGAGAACTAGTATATACAAAGAAGCAATATGTCAATGATAGCAGAGAAGGAGTTCATCATTTTCTCTATTGGAAATCCAGGATCAATTAATAGACATTCTACAGGACACATAGTGATGAAAGCATTGATCGAATACTTCGGTGCAAAGCAACTAATGAAACCTCTGTCCAATTCCATGTACTCTATGACAGAAGTAGACAATCTTGCTCTAGTCAAGTCAAATAACTACGTAAATGATTCAAATAAACTGTTGAAGCAATATATTGAACAAGAAAAAATAGGCCTAAGACAAGCAGTTTTAATCATCGTCTACGATGAGTTTGATTTAGACCTAGGAAAAGTGAAAATTTCACCCTTTAAGAAAAACGAATCGCATAATGGGATTCGGTCTATAAAAGAATATATATCTCGTCAACCTGCCGACCTGAAGGTCTATAAGTTGGGAATTGGGATTGGACCAAAACCCTCAAATGCTACTACGAGCACCATGTCGTCTTGGGTTTTATCTAACTTCAAGCAAGAGGAACGGGAAATTATAGACAACTTAAGTATACCATTAGCAATAGATTATATAGATCATGTCATAGATGTAAACGGTGAAATCCAAGATTGCAGCAAGTTAAATGCATCTTTCACTAAGCGGTCAAATTTACAAATATAACGACCCGTCCTTACAAGTTATATAGATAGAATATATATTGATAAACTGTCTATTGAAATATGATTAAATCAGAAAACAGTGTTCCGTCTATGTAATTTACTGTCTCGTGAACCAGCTCTAAATAAAGATTTTATGAAACGTGAGCCTGTACCATTCTCTTCTCGCTGGGAGTTCCCCGTATTCTCTTCATTGGCCTCGTCTCCCGTGGATAAACCGTAGTCATCGTCATCGTAATATTCATATACACCTTCATCATCGTCTCCATCTTCACTATTTGGTGTACCAAAGCTATCTATATGTTTCCTGTTGTTGAAGCTCAAGACCTCCTCGTCACTTGAATCGCTATCATAATCATCATCGAACATAGCTTGTTCAACTTGCACTTCAGCTGCTTCTGGTGATAACTCTGTTCTAGCACTATCTGATGATGTCATAGTATTGAAGTTGGCCGATAATTTGGTCAGCTTTCTCCCTTTCTCTATAGCCTTCTCAATACTTAGTCTATGCTTAACAAATAATATTCTGGGGAACATCGCTCTTTCCCCTTTCGAAAGCATTTCTGCCAATCTCTCTTCTGTTGGGTCACTTAAAATGTACCAAAAATCCTTCAATCTATTACGCGGCCATATAGTAATAGAACCAGAGAATCTTTGTAGCCAAATATTCAGCCAATCCTGTTCTAACAAATGGGGTAATAAGTCAAGACTCTTTACCATTTGCAACCATTTAGTTATTTCCAACTTAAATAATTGTTCAAGAGCGGTTGCAATAAATCCACCACGTAATGAGGCATATTTTTCCTTGTGTGTCTTGCGGCGTGGTATTGCAACTGGTCTTCCAACAGTTCCTTTAGGTGCAAAGAAAAACAACAGAATATGTGGATTAACCTGGGAAACGATAGAAAAGTTGACATTATAGTACGTGTTTAAAGCGTCGATTGGAATGTCTGTACGTAATGAACCATCTCTCCATTTACTACCCAAAGAAAATGGAACCACCCGATCCGTTTTCAAATCCTTCATCAATAACACAACTGGGTTCAAGATCCCTGGAACAGCAGATGATGCTAAAAGTGAGGACCAAATTATACAATTTGGAGAGGTGATGTTATTACATAAAATCACCGGGGAATGGGGATTCGAAGGCACGGTAGAAATATTAAGCCTCCTTCCAGTTCTTTTGAAAGATTCATAAAACGTTGTAGAGCCCCTAGTGAAGAAATTCGCTTTCCTTGCCCACTCGAGAGAATCAAATCTAGCACCCGTCTTCCACCATCTAGGAACCCATACATACCAAGGATCTTCGCAAGCCGTAATTTTTCTGGCCAATTCTGGTACTAGCAACTTTTTCAATTCATCATCAGTCCTTGTGCACGATAATGCTGCAATCAACCCTCCTCCAGATGTTCCTGAAATTATCGACGGCAACAAATCGTTATCAAGAAGTGCTTTCACAATTCCAAAATGAGTGTAGGTGAAACATGCACCTCCACTTAAACACAACGCTGTTTTACCATAATTTTTCAGTACCGTTCTAAAAAATCTGCGTTTATCATTAAAACTAATCTGCTGAGATTCTATCACTTTGTCGATACAAACGATTACTTCGTCAATGTACTTTTCAACCAAATATTTCGTTCCATAGTATCTATGTGAATATAGTTGTCTATTCTCGATACCAGCAAAGTTTTTCTTGATACATCCTTGTAAGATGACCATAAGATCATTATCACGCCCTTCTTCCCTTAAAGACGCTAATTTTGAGATGGTGAGTTCGACTGTTTTATAATCGTAGTACGAGAATTTAGCATTTTCAGACCACTTATCAAGATTTAGAAATCTATCTAATTCCAATGCATTCTGAACCCACTCTCCATAGTTCCGTGATGCCCTTAGTTTGTTCCGTAATTCTTTGCGCTTACCCACCCATGTCAAAAAGTATTCCAGTAATGCGACGTACGCTCTCACGATAATATACATAAAGCATAATAAGGAAATCCAACACAGAATAAATATAAGAATAGGCCACCGAAGCATTGTATATGATGCACTCGACCGAAATTCATTCGTTATTTTCGACTGACCTTCATTCACACTTGATTTTTTACTTTTCTTCCTTATCTTTGTCTTGGGTATGGACTTACTGGTATTTATTGGCCACCAATCGCTCTTGGACGAAATCAAGTCTGGTTTGTGCATACCATTCAATGCTGTTGATAGCTCTTCTGCCCCCAAGTCATCTATTTCTTCTGCTTCTTTCCTTATAGTGGCAGTATCTTGAAATTCTTTATCAGAGGAAGCTCCAGATTTTTCATTTTCAAGAATTTCGTATTGTTCTTCCCAAGCCAAAGCCTTAGCAAACGAACTAATATGATCTTCGTTGACATAGTCTCTATCTTCATCGAATAGTTTCTTCCGACTCGTATTCTCCATATTTGGTTGCTTGAATATATATTGCTATTATATTATCTATGCCATGGGTTTTGATGATGATGATATATGTATTTCATATACAGGATAGAATCTTGCTACTGACTAAAGCTACTAAATGCTTTAGATTCATACATATATACACGTTTATACTACTAAACTATGTCAGTTAGCTTTGCGGCTCCGGTCGAAGTTATAGTCTTAGATATTGAGGGCACAATTTGCCCTATATCATTTGTTAAAGCAACGTTGTTCCCCTACTTTCTTGAAAAATTACCACTGGAGTTATCAGCCTTAACGTATCCACTCAAATCCACGAGCAGCTCGCCGGTTGAAGAGATATGCAGCCAATTTCCTGAGAATGTTAGAGACTCTTATGATAGTTTGCTCGAATATATAACATCTTTGGTGAACAATGATATCAAAGACCCAATCTTGAAATCACTCCAAGGCTTCATCTGGAAATTGGGATATGAAAATGGAGAATTGATGGCACCGGTTTACCAAGATGCTATTGAATTCATAAAGGATTTGAGTAAGACGAAAAACATATACATATATTCGTCTGGTAGCATCAAGGCTCAGATTTTACTTTTTGGTCATGTTAAGGGTGCTAATGGGTCATCGGTGGATATGAACAGTTATCTTTCAGGTTATTATGATATTACCACCGCTGGTTTTAAGCAGGAGTCGAGCTCGTATGTTAGTATTTTAAAGGATATTGGATACGAAAGTAAGCAGTCTAGTGTGCTATTTTTGAGTGACAATGTGAAAGAAGTCGATGCCGCGATTCAAGCAGGCATGAACAGCTTAGTTGTTGACAGACCAGGAAATGCCCCATTAAGTGAGGCAGACAAGAAATCATTTAGTATTATAGAAACATTCAGGGACTTGAAAGTATAAACTGGCTTTAGTTAACGTTTATGTATTTTTATAAAACTACTAATGTACAAAATAACTCTTACATATCTCTAAATAAAATATCAGCAGCCACTTCTTCATTTTTATCACAAGCCATGTAAACTTGGATCACCAAGTTACGGTCGAATCCCAATTCACATAACCTATTTATAGCACTTTCGTCTTGTTCGGTCAATGCAATACGAACGGTTTCTGGTTCGTTTCCTTGGCCCGCACCTTCGACACCTTCACCTTCACCTTCTTCAAAATCAAATCCCATATCATCACCACTTCCTAAAAAGCTTCTGATGAAGCCTTCTGGATCTTGCTGGATTAAGGCTGCTACCTGTGGATTAGATGCGGCTAATTGTTCTAATAAAGGTTGGATCAATTCTGGATTCGTTTGCAATGCAGTTCTCAATAAACGCATTTGATTATCTTCACCCAAGTCTTCAGCACCAGCTTCTGCTCCACCGGCTCCACCTGCTGTATTTCCACCTTCTTCCTGAGCCGCGGCAGCTGCTGCTGCTTCAAATAAGTTTTCCCCTTGTCCTTCGTCACCTTCATTGTCATGGTCATGTTCGTCTTCATGATCATGAGTAGAATTCGTGGTAGATTCTCCAACAGGTGCCGACGCCGATTGGTCCGTATGACGTTGTAAGGATTCAGGTATACCAGTCAACAAGTACTCAACCGCACGATGAGGATTATTAAATGCTGCCCTTAAAGCTTCCTCGATTTGAGGTCTTTCGTATCCCATTTCCATAATGTTTTGAATAGTTGCTTCTCTATCATCACCCTGAGCAAATGCTGATCCTGGCTCCGAGCCTTGCTGGTTCGTTGACTCTCCACCACCAGCTGCTGGTGTGCTACTCGCATTAGTGCTCTCAGTTGTTGCACTAGCATCGGTGCTCGTCTTTTCTTCCACTTTCGCCCCTGGTGCTGGACTAGCTTTCTTTGCCTTGGAGATCATAAAGATGATCGAGTCTCCCTCCTTAATCTTGAACGATTCCAAACTTTTTTCATCTTGCAAAACTTTACCAGAATAAACAAATTTCAATTGAGATACTTCACAATCCTTTTCAGAAGCAAGCTTTTCCTTGGTCGCTAAAACCTATTGAATATGTTAGCATTTGTTCGAAATATTATTGTTTTTCAAGAAATTCAATTGTCGAGTACATACTGTGTCAGAAAGATCCACTTCAATTGGAATCTTCTGCTTTTTAAAATCCTTGAAAATAATTTGCATGCTGAATTAATAATCCCTCTTTAATACAGTTGCTATTACTACAACTATCTAATCACTTATTGTATATGGGGAGATAATAATTAGAAAATGGAATAAAGTGGCAATTTCAGTGGGCGGTAGAACGAGAAAACGAAGTGCACTACTCATTACTAGATATTTTGATGATAACAGGTTTTTATCGTTTTAACGTCTTTTTTTTACTACTAAAGATAGTGTTTTGAAGGATGGCTAGGAGGTCTAATAGAAACCAGTCAGGGGTACGTGGTCCGAACTCAGCTTTGACTGAATTTTTAAGGGTTGAGGGTATTACCGATGCGTTTAGGAGAAGACAAGAAAGAAGCGATACTACGTCTAGGGAAGAATCCGCAGCAGAGAGGAACGAGACGGAAGATAGCGAATTTCTGTTACCATCAGTACGGTTGGATGTTCGTGAAAATGGATTGGATGAAGAAGTAGATGAAGAGGAAAATGCGATACGGCAGGCTGCACGAAGGAAAAGACGGGCTGCCAAACGGCGTCTGGGAGGCGGATTCCCAAGTGATAGCGATGATGATGATGACGACGACGATGATAATTACAGCGATGATGATATGTTGGGAAATGGATTCAAGAAATTTGGGGAGGAAGATAATTGTGTAGACTGCGGCAAGATTTTCAATATGACGGTTTATTCTCGATACGATAGGGCTAGGAAGGGTTATTTGTGTGAATCATGTAACGAAAACTTGAAACAACGCGAGAAAATAGCTCGTAGAAATCAACTTAATGCCCGGAAGAAGAGAAAGAAGGTCGCCCAGGCGTTGTTAGACAAGTCTTCAATCCAAATGCCGACATTACAAGATATTTGCATCAAGAAGATTACCCAGAATATCGATGATGTTGATGCATTAGGTGATATTGGACAGACTAATATGAATAAAATTTCTATGATCTTATCGAAAAATAGATCGCTAAACAATTCAACAATGACATTGTTTTTGCATCCGGGATTGAAAGTGTTGGAATTTTGGGACTGTTCAAATGTCGACTCTGATTCATTGAATAAGATTGCATCCTATTGCCCTAATTTGGAATCGCTTACGCTCTTTATGTGTGGATACTTCCACAATGACAATTTGAAGTACTATAGTTCACATCTTCAGAATTTGACCGAATTATCTCTTAATGGCCCATTCTTAATTAGTGATTCAATGTGGCAGGAATATTTCGAAAATGGTGGTTCAAGATTAAGCAAATTTGAAATTAGAAATACGCATAGATTTGGAAATGATTCGTTGATAAGTCTACTTGAGAATTGTGGGTCGCAATTAACGAAACTAAAGCTTTCTAGGTTAGACGGCCTAGATTCCGCTCCTGTTTATGAATTAATACCTCATTATCTTCTGACGTCAAGCATGACGAGTTTGGAAATCTCATATCCATACAAGGAAGAATTAATTACTGATGATTTATTAATCAACATTTTATCTATTACGGGTGAGAGCTTAACTAGCTTGAATGTTGATGGCTGTTCAAATTTGACTGACCGGTTTTTGACAGAAGGAATTGTTAGGTTTTGCCCTAATTTAACCCATTTATCTATGAAACTATTAGATCAACTTACGGATGAAGGGTTTGCTGCAGCTTTTCGAGAATATTCAAACGTTAATAGTGGCGGGTTAATCAACGTTCAGCTAACTAAATGCACTGGGTTAGGAAACAACGCAATATATTCCTTACTTCATTATTCGGCACAAACATTAGTTGAGCTTAGTTTGAATTCGATATATAATGTCGATAAAGATTTTTTGTTTCAAATATTCACTGACGATTATCATCCACTTAAAAAGTCTTTGAAGGATTCTATTGAGAACACTTCAAGGCATATTGAAGACCATAGTTCTGATGAAGGAAATGACGACACTGGAATGACGAAATTTTATAGCAAGATAAATTTTCCATTATTAACAACATTAGACATTGGATTTGTTAGAGCTGTTGATGATGAGATATTGAACTTTATTAGTGACAACTGCTCAAAGCTCACTATCTTAGAAACGTATGGTAATAATAGGTGTACGTTGAGAGCAAACGTAAGGAATGATTTAATGGTTATTGGGCGTCAGAACGACATTTTATAGGTACAGGTATTTATGTATAATTAAAGAATAAAATTGAACTTTATTAACAACTATAGATCATTCAGCGGATAGACGATCGGTAAACTAGCTTTCTCCACATTCTTGAAAGTAGGAAAATTAGGCACATCCACAACATCCTTATCCAACGAAACCCAATTTCCTTCGTTCATAATCTTGTTTGAAATTTCCGGTGTGTGATCCACTAGAATACCCGGATGGTCTGCATGCTTTCGGGTTATCTTTAGTAATTCTTCCTCTCTATTAACCAAAGGCTGGCCGGATTCGTATTTATTTTGAGATTTAGCAAGTTTTATTTCTTCCAATTCTTGAATTAAGTAATTATTATTCGATAAGCGTCTCCTAGCAGATGAATTCACTATTAATGACTCGGAGATATCATTATCGTACATTATTAAAGTACCATCAGTTCTTCCAGTGTTAGCATTATTATCAAAAATTTCGGACAAATTTGCACTTACTATTTCATAGTTTAAATCAACGAAACTATCCAAAACAGCTTTAGGCAATTGGGTATTATATTGTATATGCTTCATGATTTTTTTTAAATTCACCATATTATGATGTATCAATCCTTCAAATTCGACAAAAAACTTCCAAAATTTAACTGATTTCTGTATCGCTGATTCCTTATAATATCTATTGAAAAACTTTCTAATTTTGATATGCGTCGATTGCGTAAGGTTGGTTATTAAGTAGTTTAGGTAAAAGTCTATTATCACGCATATCGATTCGTCGTTTAATAGTTTTTCAAAAACCTTGACGTAGTTATCATTAAATATAAACTTCTCAGAGTTTTCATCCTTTACTTTCTTATTCGTTTCGGCAGCACCAGGCTTTTTTGTAAACCGATCAGCTTTCTCAAAATAATTATCTATTATTCCTTCTAGTATTTTTATTATTTTATTCTCATCCAATACCAGGAACCAAAGTCTGATTAATGAATTAACAGCTTCTAAATAATCATTTTTTTGATATACCTTCGAACTTCCCAAACCGCCAAATAATTTTACGAGATCAAAGAATAATTCATTGCTTAGCTGGAATTTATCATACTTCATGAAGAAGATTCCGTAACTGAATCTGATGTAATTGTCGTCTAATGGAATAAATCTATTAATTGCCAAATCATAAATAGATTTCATTTTATCATACTTTTCTTCGTTTTTAAGATGCAGGGTATTTATAAATGCCAAATATTTCAACCAAATTTTGCTATTTAAGCAAAGTGGAATGAGAGCTCTTTCAAAAAGATTGACAGTGCATTCATATTGAATTATTTTATCCTTATTTTCATTATCCAATGATCTGTAATTTTCAATTTCATAATTTAAATAATTTATCCATTTCTCCGATTCCTCCTCAACTTGACTATAATTTTGTAATGAAAATTCAGTTATTGTTATAGCTGATTCATATTTCCACTTTTCATTCACTTTGGCCTGTGTCTTTGTAAAAATCTTGTATGAATAATCATCAATAATCTGATGTTCTTCAATTAATGAAAACTCTTCAACAGAGCCTTTATTGAATCTCTTCAAATACTCCTCTATTAAAAAATCCTTATCTTGTTCCATCGAGAATACATCGTTGATTGAAAATTTCTTATTAATTTCCATAAACTTCTTGTAATATTGTGCATATTGATACAAGGGAATTCTAACAACTTTCAAGCAGGTAAAAAATATTTCTCTACTCGTTTCTTCGTCGTCAGCGTTTAATGACGTTTCGAATTCAAAAAGTTTATCCCACAATGGATGTGATAAAAAATGTTGTCCATTATATGTAAGTGCCCTGTTAAACTGTGCTCTTATGAAGTTTATTTGTTCTTCTTGTCTAGATGCTTCTGGCGTGCCTTCATATTGAGTAATTAAGGCACTCATATAGTCGCTCCATAAGTCAATAGAATGTGGGAAATTATTCACCGATTTATTCAAAACATCAATAGAAGCATCAGCCCCATTCAATTTATATTCAAATATCAGGAAATTCTTCCAGTAGTTAGTCAAATACGGGAATCGTTGCAATAATTCGGAGTAGCTTCGATAGACATACTTTTTGAACTCATCACTTACGCTTTCCTTATTTTGTTCATCGTATAGTTCTTCAAACTTCTCATCGAAAGATTTGAATAACAAGTCCCATTTAGTGATATTATTTGGATTTTGAATAATTTCCTCTTCTAACGACTGCCATGGGTCTAATTGTGAAATTTGAGATGACATCTTTGTTGATAATTTCTCAGCGTCTTGATTAGCAGTTGGATTATCTTCCTGAGACAACGATTGAGATTCAGTTACTGAACTTCCCAATCCGCTCGACCTATCTATACAGTCAGACGGTAACCTAAAAGTCTTGCTAAACATACCCAACGAGTTATACGAGCTGTTTTATACTTCTAATGTTATAATGCAAAATAATTAAAAATTAAATCTGCTTTGTAGATGACACAAAAATTCCATATATCAAATTATTTTTGTTTCTCTATTCAACTTTTAATTATTAACTCCACTGCTATAGATATGATAAATCCAAAGTATAGTAGTAGTGATTCCGTAACTTCGGTGACACCCTTTACCGTTTCGCTGAATAATAACAACAAGTTATTCTCAATACTAAAGCCTATACCAGGTTGGAATCTGATTACATCTCCAGATAAATCAACATTAATAACAAATTCAGCATTATCTATACCAATATACAAAGACCTAGATGTAACAGACATCATTGAATCTAATAATAGTAAATTACTTGCTAGAAATCAAATAGCATCTACGACAAAAACGTTCAATAATGTGGAAATTTCAAACGCTTCTGATCAAGATAATGACCAAATGGAAATAGACACCGATCCAGCGCATTACATTAATATAGACGAATTCATTCCCAAGACATTAAAGGATCAAATTAATACTTTAACTATAACTAACTTTCCAAATGTAAAGAAAATTGCAATTGAGAAGATCTTTAAGACATTATTGATATATAATCCTCGCGATACATTTTTTACTTGGTCTGCTATAGGTGATGACCATATTGACAACAGGTTAGTATTTATAAGGTTTTTGAGCGTAGAAAGCTTAAAGTGGTTTCTTGGTAATTCATCTGACATAGTACATCAAATATTCGAAAACATCACAATCAATGCAGACCCTGCAAGCAAATCGTATTTGGACGATGCAAAGGATGTTTCAGACGGTTTAAGCGAATCTCAGGTAGAAAATATTACGTATGAAATAAGTAAGGTCTTACAAAACCGTAAAAATTATGAAAAGCTTTCCAAAACCACAGGCACAGAGGATTTAGATCAGGTAATGCAGTATTATAATACTTACAAGGTTGATCCAACGGAATTAATTGAGGTACCAAAGGATATGAAGGAAAAAATAGTTAATGATATTATTAAGTTCAGATCAAAAGTATTGAGTATTGAAAAGAATCGCCGTAAACAGGAGATTGAAAATGAAAGAATGCAAGCCAAGAATAGGTTAAAAAGAATTTTCGAAGGTATCAAAGAAATAAATGATGACATTGGACTTAATAATGACAAGGACATGAAAGAAGTTGTAGATAACAATGAAGGGTCACATACAGAGTTCGAAGAATTAAGCGAAGAACAATATAATGCGTTACTCAGTAAGAGAGAACAAGAAATTCTTGAAGAGCAATATCAAGAAAGATTGATTCGCTTTCGAGAGTCTGAAACCATCGAAAAGAACGACTTATTAGATAAGTTGAACACCGTGAAAAATTATGAAGATTATTTAATTTCAAATAAAGCAAAGTTTATTGAAGAGGTGAAGGATTTCCACGACTATGATCTTTCGAATACAAACCAGTTGGTATCGTTAAATCCAAATAAGATTAAACAGTATTATAATAACTACTCGGAGTATTTGAAGATGAGGAATCAAGAAAGAATGAATGAAGAAAAGAGTGATAGAAAGGATTTGGAAGAAGAACAAGAAGAATTACAGGCGATGAATAAAGCATCTGAATTTTTGTCTTCCTTTGTTCCAAAACCTGAATACAAAACTCAAGCGACTACCCAATTTAAGGATTTATCAGCTAATGATATTCAAATTTCCCAATTTAATTCAAATAAGTTATCCTCCTTAAATAATAAAATCGGTCAATTAATTGAGGAATATTTGGGAATACGTGAGGATGTCTTGATTAAATTCATCTACGACTTTATATTGAGTAACGGTTTAAAGTCCAAAGAAGAATTAATTGAAGAGTTGTCTGAACCTCTAGATGAAGATTCGATCATCGTTGTAAATGAGATATGGGAGTATATTGTCGAATTGGCAAAATAAGCCTATAAATGTATAGATATAATATATCATAGTCGATATTCGGTACGTATAAACGTATCTCAGTAGCAAAATAATAGAAAACATTAAATCTTTTAGCATCTTCTTTGATCGTCATTTCCAACGTTTTACAACAGTCGATCGCTACGTAACCGAAGCGCTACTTAAGGTTCCTTTGGCTTACCTTTTCTATCTAACCGCCAACGGGAGACACCCTATTATTATTGGACTGACCCCAAACCACCTGACGGAACTAAACCTTTCAACTCCATCAAAAAGTGTGAACATATTAATGAAAGATCTACCATATAGTTTGGGCTGCTGTATTTAAATTGTCGCTCATTATACATCAATATCCATTCTTCTCTCATCAATTCCAAACAACTTTATTAATCTGGTTTTTCTGTTCAGAATGCTACCTGTAATAGACAAACCATAAAATCCAAATAGCTATTTGCTTCTTTTTCATGAAAATGATTAATCTGATCAAGCGATGTGATCCTGTTTAAACCATTTTCATGCGGATACCGATAAGAACTATTCATAATAGGACCATATGCATGAGGCAAGCTATCCTCATCACCTACTCCCCTGTACTTGTTCCAAACCGAACCGTAGAGATAATTATCCATCTTTCCATAAAATCAAATTTTTCATCTCTAGAATTAAAATGATGGCTCAAAAAGGATACCACGTCATTTAGTCTCCCATCCCCTGAATCTTGAGTTATAGCTTGCAGCAGCGTATCTTCATCGTCTAATGTAAGATAATTTGATAAGCGTGTCACTCTGTGTTCAGTCATCTGTTTTCCAACCTTGGGTGGATATGATATCCAAACTGCTTTTTGCGATATCCGTCTTTAATATGCCTCTCCTCCTACTCCTTTGACTTGCAGCAACATACATTCGCATCTTACACGCTGAAGATTATTGGAATGCTCCAAATCCATATATGGAGAGGTTCTACCATATAACTTGAGCTGTTGTATTCAAATTGTTGTTCCTTGTTCTATACTCATTTTGTTCTCGGCATCAATTCCAAGGAACTTTATTAATCTGTTTTTTCTGTTCAGAATGCTACCTCTAGTATCCAACTTATAAAACTCCAAGTATCTATTGGTCATGTTTCCATTAAGATGATTAATCTGATCAAACGATGTGATCTTATTTAAACCATTTTCATGCGGGTATCGATTCGATCCATTCATAACAGGATTATATGCTTGGTGAGTAGTATCCTCTCCACCCACTCCCTTAAACTTGTTCTCAAACCGTGCTGTCACACTACTTACCCTTCTTTCCAAAAGATCAAATTTTCCATCCATAGCATCAAATTTTCCATC